TTCTCGGTGTGCCCCAACTACAGTTAGTCAAGTTCTACCCTGTGGGCACACGCTGCCAGATTTTTTTTTCCGCATGAGGCGTCAACGTCACCAGCTGCAGCCAATGGGCTTTGCTTCAGGAGGAGTGAATGGAGGTTGGTGAAACTAGGCCCTCACTGCTGATCTGAGAACTGTGATTTTTCTCATAAATATCCAAAGATAATGAATTAGGAGTGTTACTGAGCAGCGTTTAGGGCAAGCTTTGTTTGTGTGTGTGTGTGTGTGTGTGTGTGGTGGGGGTTGTTTCTAAATGGGATATATGGCACATATAATGTTCTTGCACATATCAAGCATTTGCAAAGTAAACTCCATGCTTATTATATGTAAGCTGACTTTCTGGCAGGGCCTTTTCTGTAGGAGCATAGAGCACATAAAAAGGAAATGATATATCTCAAGAGTCCTAGAAAATGTAGGCTGAGCAGGGCCAAAAAACAAACAAACCAAAACCCTGTCAACTGCAGCTAGGGACTAAAGCAGCTCATATTACATGAGGTCAATATCCATATTGGGACATTCATCAACACCGTATTATCGTTTTTTTTTTTTTTAAAGATCTCGAACTTACTGTCTTCTGAACGCAAACTCCCAGCAGGAATATTGTTTCATTAGATTTTAAGATCCAGAACAAACGGACAAATAGTATTGTGGTTGTAGCTGAGGTGCAGATAAATGTTCGCTAAAGCACCTTTGGAAAAAAAAAAAAGAAGAGCATGGAGTCCGACCCCCTTCCATGGCCAAGGAGCTGCAGACAGCGTAGGCTGTAACATGATAAGCTCCTCTTGCTCTCAGACATGGCTTTAACTGTTTTGTAATGGCTGTCTTCCCTCGGCTGCCTTCGGCACCCTGCTCCGCTCCGCAGCACGGGAGCCTGTCCATATATATATTCATCTCTTTCTTTAAAAAAAAATAAAAATAAAAAATTCAAGGGAGGAAGAAAAAACACAGCAAGACATTCAGCTCATCTTTAAGGCATGCACATATAACTGCCAAAACATAGCTTAAACTCCTTCCTTAATCTGCAAGTGTGGGCCCTCCTTCAATTCCTCACTCTCATATCCACATAACTTATATATTGTCCGAGTCCAAAATAAACCTTCTATGTCAAAAATTTTACCTCTATAGAAGAAGCAAATAAACATACTTTAATGAATATTAATGTAACAATATTTTATTCAAGGTAATTTTTCACCATTTCTGTTGGTCAGTTCATTATAAAATTGTTCACAGCTGACATTTTCAAAGTAAAGAAAAAAAGTTTTATTTGACAGTAGTGATGTTGATTATATAAACGTTAATGAATAATTCATATTAGCTACTGAATAAGTAGTCTCAAGACTAATGACTAGCCCTTAGTTTAACAGGTTAAAAGGTTAGCATTTGCAACATTTGGCTACAATTCTAGGCTTATTATTCACTTATTAATCTTAATGTTCATCTTGTAAATGAGTTAGTAATTATTATAAAACTAGTATGTAACTAGTTAAGTACAACCAACAAGACTGGAGAAGGGAAAAGGACAGGTCGTAATTGTTTAAGGGGTTAAGGTGGAGAACGATGCAGTGCAGTTCTGCTCTTTTTGACCTTCTGGTACAGGGTGCACACACAGAAAAAGAGAAGCCAAAGCTGTTTCCACCTGAGCAAGAATCTTTGTGACGTTGTAAAAAGGTGCGGCGAGCCAAGCACAGTGAGGGCAGCGGAGGCGGCAAGTGAAGTGGTAAAGGAGTGGAGGGTGAGGAGTGAGGAGTGCGGGCGCGGGCGCGTTTGCAGTGTTTTGCTCTCCAGAAACCACGGAACGCCCGGAGAGGTGGGCCAAGCTCAGGTGGGCAGGCCTGCCTCTATAGCACCACACTGACTCTCCTTTGCTCTCGATTCACATTGGCATTAACCCTTAAGCCCTAAGAGCCCACATGTGGGCTCACACTTCACTCCCTCACTCATGTACTTACATTAAATTATGTATAAGCTTCATACTAGTTAGCTTCATGCTAAACATAGCAGTTACTGGATAGTCTTAACATTAATAACTAAGCTTAAAGTTTAAAGGGTTAACACTAAGGGCTTATGTGTGAGTCCATACTTCAGCTCCTTACTCTCATAATTACATAACTTACATATTAGCATTATTGCACTTACTGAATAGTTCACAGTTCATCTAGCTACAAAGATTTAATATTAATAGCTAAATAATAAGCCTGGGGTTCAAGGGGTTAACTAAGCACTGCACACCCCTACTGTGGCCACGTGTGTGCGTAGCTGTGTGTTCAGCATTTCCTACATGCTGAGCTGATTGTTACAGTATCAAAACCAAATTAAAATTCCTCAAGCAATTTCAAATTGCGCCTAATGTGAATCAGTTCCTCGGTTTTTGTTGGCACACAAAAAGCACACACCTGTGTATGGTGGAAGTCATTTTCATGGCCTTGTAGTCACACACATACATGCTCACCAGCACCCCCACCCCCAAACACACAAGCAGACGGTCATTAGACCGGTTTATCACCTTCCTAGCCAGTCATATGAAAGTGGCACTTAGGTTGGCTTTTGACAATATCTTCTTATCAAAGACAAACCTACACCTCGAAGATTAAGGGGAGGGGGAGGCGGTTATATGCTCCCTAATGACCTGCGTGCCATTAGCCCGTCTCCAGGCCCTCGAGTGTGAAAAACAAAATACATGGTGAACATATGAACCCGGCCGCCATGAGCGTTGGAAGCCTAAATGTCAGCCATTTTGATTGTGTAAATCCAGTTGTCGGTGGTGACGGCCCTAAGCCTTCTAGCAGGCCCCTGCACACGGTTCCCATCACTGTTTTACAATGTTATGGCTTGATTTTATTACATCTGTCAAAACATCATAGGCTGCACAAGAACCTTGTGATTTGTGATCCATATTTTTCTCTTCAAAAGAGGGCATCAAAATGAAAACAGCTCTGTCAGAGCAGTAATCCAGAAATGTCTGATTAAAAAAAGAGAATGACTTGACAATGCTTTCGAGCTCTCGTGGAATTATGATAGGCTTACAGTGCGGCACAGTGTGGATATCTGTACGTGGCTCCATTCCTGGAAATCAACACACTGAGGCAATACACAAGTGTATTGAAATCAAAATACTGTATTGATGTCAAGATCGAGACAATACACAACAGCGGACTGATAACAAAATACAGTACCATTGACCTGCCTTTATAGAATGCATGACTTTAGCAGTTCACAGTTCTTTTCTAACATTAGCCCTAATAACATATGAACCATATTTTATGTAAAGGTGTACAACTGACTAAAACAGTATGTTGTAGCACCAGTTAAACCAGCGTTCCCTTGCTAGGAAAATGAATGCCCTTTTTCCCTCCTCCTAAGCTCCACTCCAACCATCCTTGCAGGCTGCACACACAGCAAAATCCACAAAGCTGTCAAAGTCGACCTGGACCCAGATGAAGAGTGTAAGAGTTAATTCAGCACTGGGTGCTTTTTGCTGTATATCTCCAAGCAGTTGGAGTCTGCACAATCCAACTGTCAATCCTTATCAATGACTTCATGAAATGAACATTGTCATGCAGACGGCTGGGCTTTAGCCCTTTAACTGCGTTGCCTATATTTGGAATTATTTCACAACAGCCTTCTGTCATTTCATTACATTGAACGCCAGGCGTCATGTTCAGTGAAAACATTGTGAAGGAAATGTTTAACAGGTATGATGTATAAACAGCATAAAATCTAGGCATCTGTACTATTATAATATTGCTTATCTGACTCATGTACAGACTGTAGACTGTTTACATCAGTGCGAGGTCCAAATTACAAACGCTGTTAACGGACTAGTCAATGCTGTTATAATTAATAGACTCTAATTTATCAGATTAGAAACTGCATTTAATAAGCTGCCTCTCTTTATCAGTATTTTCCAAACAGAACGTGTAAATAGTGTAAAAAAAATGAAATTCACCCAGGCGCGCGCGCACCGCCCAGGCATGTGAAGCGCTGATCGATAAAGAGTATTAATCAATAGAGATTATTAATCGATATGCTCTGATCTAACAGGCCGAGTTTAGGGTGTTAGGGCGGTGTGGACTGACCACAGCAGCGGTCATTTGTCTGATTCATTTATTCAGTTCAGTTCAAATAAAACATTCAGCAAAGCACATTTATCAGTAAAGAAATAAAGGCAGGGAGGCTGTAGTCTAGAAGCCAGTCCGCTCGGAGCTCGGGAATGTAGTGAGCCAGGCCAACAATAATAATAATAATAATAATAATAATAATAATGAGTAAATATATATTTGCCTGCTGTTGTTGTCATGCATTATGCGAACATTTAAACCCGTTATTCAAAGTAAATATGAATATTATTATATTATAATATTCAATTATAAGTTGTTAGGCTGTTATATTTGTTTTGCGATGTTGCAACAATAGCGTTTATTTTGTATTTACTAATGCAAAGAATAATAATTATAATTATAATAATAATTATTATTATTTAACAACTACCACAACAACAACAACAACAACAATAATAATAATAATAATAATAACAATAATAATAACCCCCCATATGATATGCTCATTTTTTCCTATGGTTTATTTATTTTTGAATTAATCTCTTAATTTTTTATCCGTTTGAACTCGCTTTAAACGTCTTGTGGTTTTACTGATAAAGCAGCGGAACTGGCACCTTTCGCATGTGCGCTTTTCTTCACTGTGCTCTGCTGCTGAGCTTCACTTTTGCGGGACGCGCAGGGAGGCGGGCAGGTAAAGAAGGAGCGGGAGAAACGCGCTGTCCAGCAGGCCTGAGCCTTCAGCGCAGCTCCACAGCAGCTCGGACAGGAACTCCTCACAGGTGTGTAGGTGCGCGTCCTGTGGGAACAAACGCAGCTGCCCCGCAGAGAACCGGTCAGTCCGCGCTTCAGCCTCTTCACTCTCACCAGCTAAACTGGGAAAGCAACGCAAAAAAGGCCCAGCGCACATCTGGAGCAGAAACACTTAACAGAGCCCGAGCTCGAGCTGTCTCCTACACGCTGCTGAGCCTGTGCTAATGGGCGCTGCTTGATTGGGGCCTTGGCCCGCTGCTGTATCAGAGCTGACCACGGATCAACAGGTAATCACCGCTGTTCTGTTGGGTCTGCTTCCATTAATGACAACACAGTGGTGAGCTGCAAATAACATGCAGTAAAATTAACTTTTAAAAGCATGGTAAGAAAAGTTTTTAAGAGTTGTGTTGATATTTAGAAACATGGAGTTAAGGGCATTATTATTATTATAATTATTATAATTATTATATTATTACTATTATTATTATTATTATTATTATTACGTTTAATTATAATTATTCAAATACAAATAATGGATATTTTACATTTTTACCAGTGTGTTTAGGCATTGCACTAATACCTGCCCAATGCACGGCAATATTTTACTCGTTTTAATTATTAATTATAATATAATGAACGCGTTGCAGTGGTTTGCATGTGCAAAAAAACTGGCTTAGCAATATTACACACAATTATCCTACAACAGCCTTATTTTCCCTAATTGCACCATATTACTGGGCATTTATAATTCCAATATCCTCAGCGCTGAGCTCTTTGGACTAAAGGAGTGCTGCTCGTAAAATATGCTAGCAAGTCAGCCATGCATTTCTGCATAGGTTTGTATATCTTTGTAATTCAAAAAAGACCTTACTTCGACCGAGCTCGCGAGCTCATAAGCAGATTAAAACACTTGCAATGAAAATGAAAAGTAGCATGCATGCAAGTTAGGAACACTTCACAAAAAAAAGCACACGAAGCAAAAACAATGGCTAGAGAGCATTCAACACAAGTCTACTGGCAGTAAAACAGACAACATACTCAAGTGTACAAAACAGATCCAGAGACGAACTACAGCCTTTCGCCCCTCTCCCAAACAGTCCAGAAGAAAAAGAGCCGATTATTTTTCTCGCATGCATTATTGATCGCCACAGCTCAGGGAGGAAGGAGCCAAACGGAGCAACGCGAAACTCACTCAGTCGTTCCTAAAAAAGCGACTGCTTCGAAAAGAAAGCAGGTAAAAGAAAACGTCCGTAAAAACACACTAAAGCCAAACGTATTGTGTCGGATCTCTTCGGCTCGTGGAGAGCTGCTCTCCCTCAGTGCTGGGCTCCTTGATCGCGTGGCCATGCGCAGTGCTAGAGCGCCCACTATTTCAGCAGCCTGGAATATAATTTCACAAGACCTGGAAGGACTCAGTAAAAAAAAAGAAGTCACTATCCCTTTCGACAACTTTTGCCTAACTTTGCTGTAGCGATTCTCCGCCACAAAAAGAGTGGAAGTTGCTACAGAGCGAGGCGCAGGCATGGAGCAGCAGTGCTTTCTTTCTCTCTCTCTCATACACACTCTCTCTCTCTTTGCTCTCCTTATCATGACACCCAAAGCAGCCCGCCGTGTTCTTCCATCACGCATGAAACTTCTGACGTTGTGAATAAGCGCAAAAAAAGTTGCGGCGGCGAGAATGCGCGAAAGTGCGACTCTTTTTTTGGAAAATGCGACCGAAGAGCGAAAAAAGAAAGAGTGGGACAAAGAAGTAAAAAAGAAACGAAAAGAAATCTAGGCAAAACAAAGATGGGTCCCGACCAGGAACTGATCAATGAAAATGACCCATTGGCGATCCGCGCGAGGGGGTATTGAGAGCGAGCGGGCACGAAAGCGAAAGAAGGGGATAGAGAACGGGGACCTACTTTTGGCCAGTTTTCTCGCCCTCGCCTTGGATCTCATCTCGTCGGCTCGTAGATTCCTCTCGTCCTCCTCGAGCTCAGAAGCAGCACCAGCACTGTCTTCATCTCACGAGCATTGTCAGTTCGGACACCTTCGCACATGCGCACAGGCCATTCAATCTGACACCCTCGTCAGGGCCCAAAAAACTTTCCAATGTATTCATCATCATCACTTTTTTTTGTCCTATCGTCTCTCCTTTAGATCACTTATCTCTTTCCCTCCTCCCTCCCTCCCTCCCTCCCTCCTTCGCTCCGCACCATCTCGGACCCCCCCCCCAAACACACACACCTCCTCCTCCTCCTCCTCCTCCTCTCTGCTTCTTTAAGAGGAATAAGGCGTATTTTCTCGCGGAGCGAAGCTGGACTGAGAAAGCTCGCCGGGGTCAAGGTCGCATCCCTCAGTAAGGTGACCGCGCGCGCTTCTCCATTCAAACCTGCGTGCGCCGCAGCAAGGGATGAAGAGAAGAGCGGTCAGCGGAAAAGCACGAGGTAATGTGTCCAACAGCACTTACAAGTGCTTATTATTATTATTATTATTATTATTAGTTCATTTGAGTTTTAATTGTATTCGCATTTATTTTAAGACTCTTATTATTTACTGTTTATGTTATGTGAGAACATTTGAAATAAAGAGAAGCTCTTGCTGTTTTTCCCCATGTGCACCGCGCTCGGTCTGCTTCTTTACCAAACTTTTGACTCTTGTTTTCACCTGTACAATCTGTGCTACCTGGTGACGTCACTGCCATGTTAATGCGTTTTGCAAAAAAAAGAAAGAAAAAAGAAATCGATACGATATTAAAAAACTTTCTTTCCGTGAAGCCTTCACTCTTATTCAGTCGTGGCTGTGCTGAGCTCGAGCAGCAGCGCGCGCTTCTGCGTGTGTGTGTAAGAGAGAGAGAGCGAGGAGAGAGACAGTGTGTGTGTGTGTGTGTGTGTGTGTGTGTGTGTGTTTGTGTGTGTGTGTGTGTGTGTGTGTGTAGGACCGTGGTGAGCAGAAGGTAAGCACGTGAAACGCAGCGCTGCGGCTGGATGTGAAACGTGCAGAGACCACTGTCCGGCTTCGTGTCCAGTCTCAGGGTCGCAGTCAGCAGGACAGACCCAGGACAGTCGAGCCCGAATGTAAGTACCATTCCTCTGCATGCTGGATGCGCGCGAGCCGCCACTCACATTCCACCGCTCTGTTCACGAATAGAGACACGGGAAAACAAAACGCCGTTCCTGCGGACGGAGCGCTTCTCGGTTTAATTTGGGAACGCAGCGCTCTGAGGGGCTCCATCATCTCGGCACACTAAGCGCGGCTGCGTTTCAAATTGCGCGGCTGGAGCTTTAATGATGAACTCTAGCTCCACATTTTTCGGAGAAGTCATTCTGAAGTGGGTGATTTTGGGCAGAAGAAAGAAGAAAAATTGACGCCTGTTTTTTTATTTGTGTGTGGACGAAATATTAGTGCTTTGAGTTGCACATAAATCTAGACCAATTGCTATTTATTTATTTATTTACTTATTTATTTGTTTATTTATCAGTGCTCCTATAATGACGACAATTCATGTGTTGTGATTAAAGTTAAAAATACAAAATAACAGTGAATAAGTAATTGTGAGTTGTGAATAAGACATAAAACGTTATTGTTAACATACTGAAATCAATTTATATTTTATATTTATTTTTATATTTCCATTATTTTTTATAGATATTTTATATTTGTATCTTTTTTAACATTCTAATATTACATGTGTGATGCAATTAAAGCCACATTTCATTATTATTATTACTATTACTATTATTATTATTATTATTATTATTATTATTATTATTATTATTATTATTATTATGACAGCAGCAATAAGAACAAAATGCATACTGCTCAAGTATTTCTGTAAATGAATTTCAGTCACGTGCTTTGAAGGTTTGGAAAATAACTGTGAAATGCAAAACCTTAAAACTGAAACTACATGTATTACATCATTCTCTTACACAACTCTTATTTTGTGATTTGGCCTTTTGGAATCGAGCACTATTTTGCTTACGATATCAAACTCTCTCTTGAAGTGGTCAGTATTGTGTAAGCGGCGATCAGTCAAGAGAGCTGGATAATTTTTTATTATGCTTTTTTCAGAGATGGACAGTGTTTCTAACTCTAACGTGCTGGTCCATTTCACTCTACTGAATGAATTATTCTTAGTTTAGAAACTGTTCATTTGTTTCTCGTCTAGCCTAAGGACGGTCTGCCCAGCTCTTGACTGACTGGTGAAGAAGCATGTGATTCAGGCTGTGAACTCCTGAGCAGTATTAGGAGCATTAAGTAAGCCAGGAGCTTGTCACCATGCCAAACATTTACAAATCCCATTTAATAATCAGAGACTCCAATCATAACAGACTCCCTAATAAACTGATAAAGCTATATTACAACTGAGATCATGTATACCTCACCTCCTTCACTACTGGAGCCATATTCTGTGGAGGACTACTTCACAAGAATTCCTGAAGAACGCTTTATTAAAAACTAATAAAATAAAAGTGCATGTTTATTAAATGAAGACTAACCAAGTCTGTCCCAATAAAGCAGCAGGACATTTTCCATTTATGGGTTAAATCTGATTACTTTCGCCATGATATCACTTGACATCAACGTGAAAATCACCTGTGACTGGATGACCCATTTATTACACGCTAATGAAAGACAAGCACTACCCAACAGTCTAAACACAGACTGAAATAATGGGAACCAACACAGCAACACAAAAAGCACAGCTCTGTTGTTTCTCCGGACAGCCTGTTTGCCGCAAACCCATTTAAAGAAAGCGAGTTTTTGGGCGGGACAGATGATTTCATAGTGAGCAACACCTCTTTTAAAGAGCAATTAACTCTAATTAGACGTGTAAAGAAAACGCGCTGCTCTTCAGCGCTCCTTCATTGGGGAATCGTTTTCTGCGCCATTTAAACGTCTGGCTTTTTTTTACGAGCTCCTGGAAACGGGATGGCCATGCAAGCACGCATTTTGAGGCTTTTCTTTCCAGCCTGTGGCCACTTTTCTCTACAGCTTTAGGGAGGGATGGTGGCCCGGAACACAGAGGGTTCTCTGGAGAACATCCGCTCTGGGCCTTAATGTCCAGGGGCACAATTACACCGCTTTATCTGTAGTGTGTAGAGATGGGATCTCTACGGGATGAGGAGGTGCGAATGTGGCAGAACATTTTATGTGAGTATATATATATATATATAGTTACGGCATATTTTACTTAGTCAAAGTCTGATTATAATTTAAATAAAGGCTTGATGATCTCAGGAGGATACATTTTAAATTATATATTCACAAGGCTTTTCCAAATTGATTAATTAAATAAATAAGAAATCCTTTTCAATAAGGATGTTTCACAACCAATAAAACTACTTAATCAGCATACACACCTACGTGTGCATATAACGAAAATACGAAATTTGGACTATAAATGAATAAATAATTAAGTAAATAAATAGACAGACAGATAGACAGATGGATCCAAGGTGGTACATGCTACTCCATGTAAAATTAATGAAAGCTGTAAAAATTGTTAAATGATCCGTTGGTTTTTGATCACGGATGAAATAATCCCAGTTTTTACTGTGTACCGCCATAGGGTACCAATGAATTTGTACGCTCATAAAAAAGTGAAATGATCTCAATAGCGGTAGAGTAAGAGAGATATGGGTAAAAACTAGCAGAAGGTGGGCTGCTCCAGCAGGTAGCTTCCAAACGGGATTAAATCCAAGCTTTATCCACAGCCACAGCGAGCCGTTGATAAGATCACAGCCCGCTCTATATGGCACATGACGCAGCCAGTCGTGGCTCCGGCTTGAAGAGTTAAACTGCATCAGAGCGAGGTGCTGCTGCAACGCTGGCCCTCGACATGCTAATGCAGTTTCTATAGGCTAATGACAGTGAATATTACCGTTAAGGTGGGGGCTTCAGCTCCACGCGCTCGGCTCACTCAGAAAGACAGGAGTTCAGCGCGTGCCATTAGCACCCTTAGAAAACAATGACAGTGAAAAGCAGAAGAGGAAGTGGCCGCAGAAGCTCGGAGGACAGCAGAACAGCCGCAACCATAACAGAAAACAAATCCATGCAGATGAAGAGAAAGAGCAGAGCGCGAGAAGCAGCTATGAAAACTGAATGTTTGTGTTCAACAGATTGTTAAAGCGGCCCCCACCTGCTGTGACAGTAGACAGCCCCAGTCTATAGGAACCATAAGAGCATTTATCATGATCATACTGAAATGCTGGGGCACCGCTGAAGCGTGTCCTCCTAACATCCAGCTACTGCAGAAGCGTGGAAGAAGCACTGCCTCCTTCTGCCGGCCCGCGTGTTAAGCTACCTGGGTAATTATTAGCCATTAATTGGGTTCAAGACCTTGGGAGTCTATGGGAAATGGGAAATGTGACCACTAATGCCAGACAGTCCCCCCCCCCGCGTCCCTCGTTCAAAGTGTGAAAAGGGAGACGGGAGCCGTGCCTTAAGCACACATAACCTACTAAACTATCTGGAAAAGTCAGGAACGACTACTAGAATGAGCTCTATAAGATATGGGTGGCCGATATAGTCTGAACGTAGTGGCACTGTATTATGTACACGCTTCAAATGAAAAAAGATGCTTCTGAAATGGTTCTTTAGTAAAGAAAGTGGTTCTATGTAGAACCATGAACACTCAAAGAATCATTTGGATGCTTAAATGGCTCTCTGCATGGTGAGATTGTTCTTCAGAATGACGGAGAACGTGTTGTATATAGTTCTATATAGAACCTTTTAGAACATGGTTCTATATAGCGCCAAAAAGGGTTCTGCTATTGTGACGATGTCAAGGTCGTAACAATAGACGAACCATTTCTGGTGTTACAGAACCGTTTTCAAAAAGGTTTTATATGGAACCATATACAACACATTCATTAATCTGAAGAACCATTTGACCATGCAAAGAACCATTTAGGCATGCAAGTGGTACTTTGAGTGTTCATGGTTTTACATATTGGTTTCACTGAAGAACCCTCGAAGAACCATCTTTTTTAAGAATATGTATGTATACGTGTATAAATTATTTATTGATTTATTTTTCAATTTCAGATTTTTCACCATATCTATCTATCTATCTATCTATCTATCTATCTATCTATCACACCGCTGTCCTGGTGGTTTGTAGTCTTTACTTTGTCTTAATTAAATGCAGTTAATATTGTTGTAAAGTTCACTAACTGATTATTTTGTACAACGACGGATCTTCACAACTGACCAGGTTGAATAAAGAATGGTCAGCACATCGACTCTCCTCTTTAGTCTGCTTTTTTTCATGAGTCTGTTTTCTGTATGTAGTGTTTATTCCAGAATTCATTCGTTTCGTGTTTTAGTGCAACTTCCTTTCAGAACGGAGCTGAATCAGAGTAATGATACGAAACCTGAAATCAGTCGCTAAAAAAACTGACATCAGCCTCAAAAATCGTGTAGAATAAAAATAATAAAAGCCGCGCAAAAGCAGTGAATCCTGGAGATGAAGCGCGCAGTCTGAGCGGCTACATCAGGAGCGATGTGTGATTTAAATGCTGCTGTATATTGTGATGGATCCCGCTGCTGTGTGTGTGTTTGTCTGAGGTTTTTGCTGCATTTTCGTTGTGTGTGTGTGTGTGTGTGTGTGTGTGTGTGTGTATCGCTGCTGTGTGTCCAGCGCTGAGCTCCGGCTGCTGCTCGCCCAAGGCAAGAAACCGGCCCACATGCAGAGACCACCTTCATATGATGTGATCAATCACACGGTGGGCACCAGGGGCAGAAACAGACTTTCAGACGCTAAACATCCAGAGATAAATTAATGACCAAAAACAAGGACCTGATCTGATGACGTGTTCACGTCATACCCGATCGGCGCCATGAAGTGCTCTGGAAGATTAAAAACGAAGCGACAATGTGATTATTAATTTAATAAGAACCAATAAGGAACGAAAGAAATTCGAAGATTATTATTATTGTTATTATTCTAATCAACAACAACAACAACAACAACAATAATAATATTGACATTATTATTATTATTATTCGAATAATAACAATAATAACAACAATAATAATAACAATAATAAATTGTAAAAAAAAACCAAAAAAACAAAAAAGGAACCCTTTTGGTTATGTATAGAACCATTTTTAAAAAGGTTCTTTACAGAACCCTATACAACAGGTTTTCCGTCATAGAAAAGAACCATTTAACCACGCAAAGAACCGTTTACTCATATGTTCTTCCGAGTGTTCACGGTTCTCTACAGAACCACTGCATTCACAAAGAACCCCTGAAAAACATTAATAATAGTAAAAATGATGACGACAGCAACAATATTATACATAAAAACGTTATTTAAAAAGTAGTTATATAATAATATATATTATAATATATAAAAGTATATAATAATTGGCATGCTCGCCAATAAACCCAAATATTTCTGCCATTAATATGTTTGTAAAACCGAAATCTACCAACATTCGATATTGTCCATATAAATTCGTCTCAATAAATGACTCAGTAAATTCATGTCCACTTCCAGCTCGCCTGCCCCGGCGTTGCCTTCAGCTCAGTAATTCCATAATGCAGCATGACATCTCTGGTTTTAAGAAAAGGGTTTCCATTTCATCGCTTTTGACTAAAATGTGGGTAAAGAGAACCGAAGACACAAATTTTGTGCATGGTGCAGGCTGAAATTTGCAGAAGTTTAGCAGCACTCAGCACCACTGTTTTCAAAAGCACATATGTGCCTTATTTTAGACGTTTTGCACTGATATCAGTTTTCTTCGTTACTTCCCATATACTTGCTTTAAAAACGCTTAATTATGTTATTACATACAAGTATGTATTACAAGTAAAGCCTGACAAGTTCAGTACCGTTGGTGCCTTTAGGTCATGAACAAAACTCTTGGATTGTCCTCTGCCATAGACAGGACTGGAGGAACCTGGAAACCAGCTCTTTTAAGCATACAGACACTTTCAAAAGCTCTGTCAAATGTCCTGTAACTGCACATAAATAGAACTCAGAGATGTTAAAAGACTGACATTACCAAGCTTTTAACAGTTTAGAAGCACAGTGCCAAGATCACAGCACAGCAAGGAGAGTATCAATTGAACATGTCCTCTAATAGATGGGCTCAAAAGCTACAACAGTTTAGGGACCCTCAAGAAAAGTGATCAAATACTGGATCACTGAGGTAGCTCTTGAGCCAGATTATGTCTTCACCATGTTGCAATGTTGTTCCAGGTAATACAAACCAAATGTCACGTTCTCAGTCATGTACAGCTGCACTTGTGGGTTGTCTCCTTTAATCAAAAGGTAGAGTAAGAGGTTGAGATTCATGATCAAATAAATGATTTTATTACATAAATGTTCTTAAATATTCCTCACCTCAGCGCACTTTAAGATCACATCAGTCATTAGTCAGTATAGGCAGATACAGTTTGAACACCCCTGTTCAGTACATGTTTTGTTGATGGTGTAAGAGAAAATAAGTTAGCATATCTTCTACAGAGAATTTTAATATGGCATTTCTACGCAAATTTTAGAGCACACGTTCAATTTATTTGCTGAGTTTAACATATTGGGAAAAAAAAATCAAAATATGCCATAACTTTTGCATAAATCATATTTTTGTTTTTAATTATTTCCCCAATATGTTAAACTCACCAACTAAAGAGTAATTGTGTATTAAAGTGTGTGTTGAGTATGTGTATTTATTTTTACTTATAAGATCAACGAAACGTAATTTGACCGAGGGCATCCAAACTTTTACACATGACTGTATGCAGATCTCTCCAAAACGGTTTAATACCAATTCAAACATGATAAAACAACAACCAAACTCTGGCCCACAGAAGATGTCTGGGGCCAGGGGAATGCATCCTGTAAAGCTAACATGAATGGCAGTATTAACTAATTTGAGCTCTTAAGAAAAATAATCAAAGGCATCTTAATTCATTCATTCCTAGGGTTCAGCAGCTCTGGCTTTGACTTGGATATGGGACTGCCTTGGTGGCTCATAAACATGGGGAGCAGGTCTCTCTGAAAGGCCTTTCACACACCCCGCCTTCCTCCGGCCAACCTGGCAGGCCCTTCCCAGAGTGACTACGCATAATTTCCTTTCGATTAGGGCCATCTCCTTAACCAGACTCCTCAGCAAAACCAACACATTTGTGTTCTCAAACACATCCAGGTTGGGAGGCCTCAGAGCCATGACAGGATCTGGAACGTTGTGGGGTCAAAACATGTACGGCAACATTTGTTTCATGCATGGCACAAGTGGCTTTTGTGCAATAGGAGCTAGCAGGAGAGGTTTCCAACAGGCGTTCCTTTTCGGGGAGCGAGTGTGAACTTGTAAAAAGGGTTTTGTCCATAGCATGGCCACAAAGTTGCAGCATAAATCAAAGTAAGCAAGCAAAATTAATATTAACCCTGTAAACTCTGAGAAAATACCAAAAGGTCTGGACTCTCGTAACTATATTCCTTACATATTATTTTCAGCATAGATGCTGTACAGTTCCAAGTAGTTACCAAATAATAAGTCAATTCAAAATTTCTGCATAATTAAATAGTTAAGATGTAAGCAAAGTCATTCAGAGTGGTTTGATAAGGAATGCTCTGTTCTAGAGAAACTTTGTGAGTCAGAATTGTTCACAGTGGTGGTGATAGGAACCAGACGTCTGAAGTGTTTCATTTCTCAGAAAGAAAGTAACTACATGAAATGGTTATGAAAACACTGACTGATACCTGAAACATTGTTTCACAACAGCTTTGAGATAGGACTTTGACCGAATTATTTCTCTCTTCATGGCAGAAAGGTAAGGCATAATAATTTCATATAAACACTCAGAAGACACTTGTAGGTTCACTGATTATTTTGCATACAGAATAAAATAGCTATATTTCTGCTGAAGACATTGAAAGCCCTGGTTCCTATCATCACTGTAAAGACATTAGAGTCAGTAAGTTTCTATGCATTGCACCATTTCACATTAAACCATTCTGTATGACTTTGTATCCATCTCAACAATTAAATTATGCAGAAATTAAGAAAAATCCATGGAGTACAACTTGTACTATTAAAAAATAAAGGTTCCTAATTGGTTCTTGGCTTGAACATACAGTTCTTGGAAAAAGCCTTTATTTGGAAGAGCTTCTTCACATTCAAACATCTTGTTTACAAAAATGTTTTTTCAAAAGTGTAGCCATTGAAAGGTTCTTAAGGTAACAAAAATGTTTTCTCTATCACTCAAAATAACCCTTTTTCACATTTATGTTTAGGAGTGCAGAGTTTAATGGGTTAAGAAGATGTAGCCTTAGCTGTTGGAAAGAGTTTCTGTGTGGAAAGTGCCTGCTTTCGTATGGTGGCGAGCTTTCGTACGCGTAATGAAAGTAAACAAATACAAAACAGCCTAATCCGTGCCGGAGTGGTTGGTTCATTCGCTCGCACCTTCACTCACACACAGCCACACACACCAGCAGCAATAAATCATTCAAACTGTGGCTTGTTTAGGCCGAGGATTGCCTCTCGTTGCTTATTCACTGCTGGGATTAAGTCCCAAGCAGGGCTGCTTATTTACCTGTTTATGAGTTTCATTAGGCAGTCCATCAGAGGCAGTCCGTCTGTGACAGCAAGATTAATCAGCCTCCTGCTCCACACACACACACACACACACACACGGTTTCTATATAGATACATACGTTTATTGTCCTCACAAGAATAATTATGTCCTCTCTTCTTTGCTGGACACATAAGTTCTATAAAAATTCTTCTACGAAGGAGTCACTGAAATAGAAGGTTCTCTTTGTTTTTGAAGTCTTATAAAGAGAAACAGGACTACTGGGGAATCTGATTCATAGTTAGCGGGGCTATTGATTTTCGGTAACCCTGTTGTCTTGGATGACTAAACTCCTTCATCTCCACATCCGAAAACCGGTCAATAAAACTGACATGGTTGGCTACAGAAATGACACCATGATTCAACCGCAGCCAAAGCTCCAGTATTTGATAAAAAAAAAAACAATTTAGAGATTGTCAAACATGTACGGTTAGGTCACGGCATTGGACGCAGATGCAGTTTTGAAATTTAAAACAGATTCTTGACATTACAATTTAATCTCGAAAAGAAGCACAAAGCACACAAATTTACACACATAATTCTCCATCTACATTTTACAGTACAAAGCATTTCCATGCCAGGATGCCTCTCAAATTCATGAACCATATTTTGTCAAAGTGCTCCCGCCATGCAGAACTATTTTCTTCTCTAAGTGTGTGGAATCTTTCCTTGTATGCAAATAAAATGACACCAAGACACAGCAAAGCCTCAATGTTTGTCAAAAATGTTAGTTTCATCATTAAGAAAGGAGCGTAAGGAACATCTGAAATGTTTAAATGAAGCCTGAATTTGCATCCATGTTTACATGTACAAATCTCCACTGACATTTTATGGTACACTGCATTCTCACTCCAGGACATCTCTTAAATTCAAGTCTTTCTTGGTAAGAAATCATGGGCACATTTTGGTTTGAAAGTATGCCAGTTATCAGTGGGTGGAGTAATTGTGCTTTGTTGCTATACTTAAGCACTATTTTTGGAAGAAAAATAGAAGTACTAAAATTAAACATTTGTACTTGTACTTATTTAAATTTCCAAAAAAACATTAGCTTTACTCCTCACATTTTCATACAGACCTTCAAAGTGCTTCAAATCTCAATGACATCATTCTCTCGGCAATCAGCCGAGTTCCCATGAATTTGAATTTGTTTTTATTTAAACATCCAACCAAATTTATCTCAGTGTAGAATGAAACTACCCAAAACTGTGCCAACTAATCTTTGTGTGAGTAGTACCACACATTAGTCAACGCACCACCAAACAAGGAAAACCTTTATGTTAAAACATTTTTTTAAATATACCAAAGCATGTTTAGATTTTGATACCTTTTGACTTCCACTTTTTACTGAGTAAGAGAGTAAGATCTTGACCTATAGTGAGGTCCAAAAGTCTAAGACCAGATTGAAAATTTTGGATTTTTTTTTTCCATTAAAACCTGAAAATAAACAACAGTTTTGGAACTTGGAAACATTTAAAACAAAGAAAAATATTCAAGATTTCTTACCTTTTCTGGGTTCAAATTTAAGCAAATTTTGACACTGTCCACATCAAAGCCTTTGCACTAAAAGGTCAAGTTTATTTATTTATTTATTTATTTATTTGAGTCTTATCCCACTGAAGCTTGTGTTCAGGTGCTGAGCGGATCTATTCATCAGAAGTCCATGCCAGCAAAAGGGGGACGTGCCAAATACTATGAATGTCTGAAAATCATGTAAATATTTAAAAGATTCGACCTTTCACTAAAATTGTGATACACACAATATATTAGTTGCCTTGAACATTTTGCGTTAAATTAATGAACACAATATAGAGGCATTTCCACTTCATTTAATTTTTTTGCCCGTGCACTTTACTTGTTTCTCTGTACTGTTTTCACCTCTGCCAATTGTTCTTAGTATCTGAAGCATCTTAGTTGGATAGAGGTTGTAATAAGCAGGTGCTGAAGTAGTTCCCCATTCCGTATGAGGGGCAGAGACTTTCAGTGTTTAAAGAGTGCCCTCCTGTGTCCTAAATACACATACTGTCCACAAGTGATATGACTTCAGCATCCTTTCCTTTAACTGCACCGTTATTCTCATGCCAAAACACCGAACATGAAACATGTATCTTGAAGCACCAATGGGAGCCTGGATGGCCCACCATTTCAACCAAGCCGAATTACTTTTAGCTACAATGTCGCAACTGATCCAGAAATGGGGGGTGGGGGTTACTTATCGAATAAAAAGAATTGTTGGCTGAATTACATAATACACTGTCCTAAATAGTCAGTAACAGTCTGTTAAGTATATAACATAGTAACCTATTCAGGATACATTTTGAATGCAATATGAAAAGGCACATAAACACAAGCTATATTGTCATTTATCAATATCTATTATTATTATTATTATTATTATTTTGTCGCAGTGCTACCAACTGTCTTTATGTAAAACCTCTAAATGATGAATTTATTAATAACATGCATGGATGACATAACAAACATGAATAGACTTTACCATTATCACTTTAAATCAACTCATGACAGATATTGTATCAAACATACGGCATATTTACACAGATGACAGTACCTCATAACTGCAAAATGGAAATACGTATTCTGACAGCTATACACAATATACAAAACCTCATATCATAGTAAAATATGAGTTTTTTTTTCTTTTAAGTATTCTATTCATGTAAACAAGGTTATGAAGTGTTGACATGATAGTGACTGTATACCTTAACATAGGGGTAAATTCAGATTTTAAAATTTTAAGATGGCACGTTACTACTTTTTTCTTTTCCAATTTCGATATTGAAACCTTGAGCATAAGCCGATACCATTCTGACACTTTACTTTAAGACTATAAAACTTTAAACATGAGCTTTTTTCTAGCACTTTTTCACATCTGAGATGAGAGTTTTAAAGTAGACTATCACACTGATAGTACTCAAATACTCTACACCCCACAGGAAGAAAAACACAACTAAAACATGACATCACACTGTAGTTTTATTACAGGATGAACTAGAATTCAATCTTTTTTATCTGCACTTAACTGCAGTCTGAATACTGCATGTTCAAAATGCATCTGGACTGAATACAGAAACCTTGTTACCGTACTTGAATATGCACTGCTGTTACTTGTATTGTGTTACAACCCAGCCCTGACTGTTTATAACAGCTGAACCCCATGCGCAAACAAACAATGAGTTGTGCGACGGACGGTTGGTTTGGCAGTATGCCAGGTGGGGGGGGGGAACTCTGGAAATTAACAGGTTGTCATCTTTTGCTTAGCAGTGAGTGGACACCAGATCCCTGAGCATATTCAACAATTCAGCTGGTTCTTGGAACACCCACAGTGTACTTTGAAGCTGCCGTGTTGGGAAGTTAGCGACACGAGCTTCAGACTTTTAGCACTCTCTTCTCTTCTTTTTCAAGTCTACAAGAGAATAATGAGGCTTTTCTCTAGCAGATGTGTGCCTCAGGGTATCATTGTGTGAGTGTGTGTGTGTTTCCTGCCTTCA